GTGTGTGTGTGTGTGTGTGTGTGTGTGTGTGTGCGTGTGTGTGTACGTATCAAAATATATTTCCATATATTCATATCCATGCAAACTCAAAAATTGCAATGGTAAACTCAAAAAACAGATTAATATATGTTCACATCCACATCGACACAAAAATGAAGTTATGATATCAACACATACATTGTATTCTCAAGGTTGTATAAATAAATACGTGATGTAAATATAACTCTCGGACAATTACTATAGACTTACCTACACCAAGGACATCACGTGCTGTGCTATTGGGTCTGCCCCACTGTGTATACATCCAGTCCTCTAAGGCTAGATTTGCATACGGGTCTATGCTGGTTGAGCGATACACTTTCATAGCCGGACGTGCTGCAACCGAGTATGCACATCCAGAACACCGCTGTATATTCGACCACTGTGACTGTAAATATGTTTTACTGTCATAACTATGTGTTCGCATTGGTCTAGTAGTGATACAATTCCTGGACGTATATCTTTCAATTCTGGACATGCATACAGCAGTGCAAATACTTCTCATCGCGGTAGAGGCCTTTACTTTTAAGACCACGTTTGTGGTTCTACATCCCACCCGTGACTGTGAGCGCAGTATCGGTAGCCCGGGCAAGACAACCTTTGACCCGCTCAACATGACGTTGTGATTGGATCTGTGACTAAGTCTGTGGATTTGTGTATATATAGTATACAAATGTCTTTCTGCTGGTGTGCGCCTTCCCTTGCTTTGGCTTAGAAAGTCGAGTGATTCTGTGGGCGCCTCTAGCACATTAACGATAAAATCTGTCACTAAATTGAATATGTTGTCAAGGTCCGAGCTATGGCTAGAATCCAGAGTAGGTCTCAAATCCTTTAATGTGAACCCTGGACTCTGGATTTGGTATAGTGTATATACTACACTAATACAGAAGGCACATCAAAACTCAGTCGCACACGCTTGTTTATATTATTCATAAACACACACGTCGTCGAGGGGAATCGATATTTTACAAATAAAAACATTTGTGGTCGTCTTTGCTTTCCCGGCAAGGTGAACCGAGAACAAAACATTTCATTGGTCGATTATCAAAACCCAAATCAGGAGCAGATCGGACCGATAACTCCTTTCCGACTTTCCGTCACTATTAAAAAAAAATCAATATGTACATTATTCAATTGAAGTCACCACATACTACATATGGTTCTGCTTGCATTCGGTATTGCTTATTCATATACTCTTCGATGTAGTGAACATTGGGTGTCTTTGAGAAGCAGGCGATATCCACCCTTTTCCGAAGCGCTTGCTCTTTCTTATCGGATTGGAATTCATTGTTGGTGTATGATAGGGCGAACGTTTAATACCACTATGCATCATCCCTTTATACAATCTAACATACGTTTTATACTTTAACTCTCACTAAGTACATCGCGAATCAACAAGTACATCTAAAATATCTTTAAGTGCAGAGACATATCAATCATATACATGGCGGTATGAGTTTTTCTCAAGCGTCTATCAAAAGCTCGAGGATTTCACCATCGACAATATCAAATAGCTCGGAAACTGCGCATACTAGAAGGTCAAAGTCTGAGAACACCGAGGATATATCAGTATCAGATTGGGATAAGATTGAGTCCGACTTAAAGTGTTCGATTGAAGAGATGTCGTTCAAGCCGGTTGAGTCCACAGCAAGTGAGAGGTTTTGCGATGCGATAGGTGCAAGCCACGACATGGACAGTTTCTTCGAGGCGTTGGGTAGGGACTTCTCGTCATCTACTTTCACGTGTTTTTTCACGTGTTTCCTGCATCTATTTTAGAAGAAATCGTAGGGCAGAGTTTGACTTGTATCGTGCATAACTTTTATTGTTTCTACAGTGATAAATTGTCTCTGAGTGCTTGCTTGTATCAGTTAAAAATCTTGCCGCGTTGTCAGAATATTTAAAGAATATCTATTCACATAATTCACAATAAGTATCTACACTGGACAAAGCGAATAAGAACCCGTAACAATCATACAATCGCATATTATGTGTGCCCTATACACTTGCCTACAACAATTAATTTGTCACCCAAATTCAATCTCGTAAGAGATATATATGCTTGTTTCACGTATACGAGATTTCAAATACGACAAAATTCTATGTATAAATAAATATATATATATATTTATATACATGTATGTATATACATTATATATATATATATCTACCTATACAAATATATATATATATATGTATATATATATATATTTGTTTATATATATCCATATATATATATATATATATATATATATATATATATATATATATATAAATATATATGTAGACCGTGGAACATTGGCTTGTCATACGATTACAGGTGATTCGTCAATTGAATAGCCCTGGAATTTTCTTCCGCTTCAATTTAACATATCAAAGGATCACTTGATACACATCTGTCGGGAATCGTTTGGAATATCCTGTTATACCTTTCACTTCTAACCTCATTGTGATACACCTTTGCTCATCGCAGATGACTTCATCACACCTTTACGGAGTGCCAACGTTGTTTCGTTGCAAACGCAAACAACTTCCTTGGCACATTTTCCTTCTCAACAGCCCATGCCAACGGTGGGGAAACATACCACAGGAAAAGATGGTCAGAAAGGATATGTTGAAAAGCCATCAAAGGTAAAGAAAGCGTACACTACAGAGGAAGGGGAGATCAGCATAGAGCCTTCTGAGGACACTCAGGACACAGACGTATCTGTAGCGACACCCAATGCAGTCGATGCAGACATGATGGCGATAGGTATTATAGCCTCTTCAGTATCAACACGTAGCACGGCGACGACGACATGTGTGGCGGCCGATGGGGAGCAGGCTGTCGTATCACGTGCTGTCAGTGTCACGGCCACGCCAGAGGTCATCGCGCCGGTATGTGCGCACGAAAGTGTGAGTTTAAAGAGTGTGGTATTAGGGGAGCCGCTACAGGCTATGACACTCGACGCACCACATATCAATGCAAGCCCTGTGTCTATGACTGGTAGTGGGCGTACTGCGGCGGAGTACTCAGACACAGCCAGTGAGAAGTCTCGATGTTATGGGCGCGTGTCTATGGGGGGAGATAGCGTGGTAGGTATGGAGATAGAGATACCGACCACCCACACAAGGCCTGGGAAGGTGGGTGAAGAGATGTGTGCTGAAGAAGGTACGCAGAGTGCGGGCCCCGCTTTGAATTCGAGTGTATATATCGGGACGAGCGCGCCCGATTCATCTATGGACTGCGATGAACCGGACACGCACATGGCGTGGGACAGTCGGGAGAGTCTGCGTAAACAATCAGATAGTGTGGCACACAACGTTGCGACAGAGGCGAAAGTGATTGGGGCAGAAGTCGATAGCACAGATGATATGTCGAAAGGCAAAGGAGAATGCGATGATTCACAAGTATTAAAGGCTGGTCGTGAGTGTGTACCTATTACGAGGACTGGTGTCGCCGAGCGTGTCAGTGCCGAAGGTGTCGGTGTGGAGGATCACCAGACGGGCAAGTCTAAGTATGCAGGGTATGACACAAGGGGTGTACATAACACACAACACGCACTGTCAGAGAAAGGTAACAACACACAACACACACTGTCAGAGAAAGCTACCAGCGTACCACCGACCACAGCGCAAAGCACTGGGGATGCGGTGTCAAGCCAGGCTGACACCGTGTCATGTGTGGCAGGAAACGGCTCCGACACGGGGGAGGGCCGGGGGAACGACAGTGCGTGTGACAGTATGGGCGGCAGCAGTGGGGAGTTTAACTACGGGAAGTTGTTTGGCAAGACACAGACATTTGCGCTGGCCAAGGCAATGTCACGTAGGAAACAGAACGAGTCTAAGTACGCGACAGTCAGTAGGTAAGTCATGGGGTGTAGTTGGGTTGTTTTGGTTTTTTCAAATGCGGTGTGTTCTATGTCGGTATGCACACGCGAATGTTTATAGTCGGTTGTTGTTGTGGAAAAGGAGCATATATATGTGAGAGACTCTTGTGTGCACACTTGCGCTCATTACATGAGTGCGGCTATGTTGTAGTTTAGAATAATATGTAAAGGCACATATGTGTATGTGTAGACTACCTTGTGTATGTATGGTACTTGCACTAAGATGCACGCGCAAAGGGATGAACTACACACCAGCCATAGTGTGTAGCAGCGTGCCTAGTACATACACAACACGGGTAAATCTCAACAGTACTAAGTAATGAACACAAGCACATTGAAACATGCATAGTGCTTACGCCATGACTTGGTAATCACAAGCACCCGGTAGATACAACACTACATAGTACATGCAACATTGTATATCTGTGCCTGCGTCCGTCTGTGTTGTAGGATATCCGGCTAACCCCTAACTCTCAACGTAATGGCCGGAGTCCAATATACATTGATCTACTCATTCAAACGCCGTTCTTTATATAGCGCAATAGGCGGTGTTGCAGTGAGCGTCTCCCAGTTGCATGTACCGTTGAATTCATTCAGTACCCTGTGTCTGATGTGGGAATGCGCTCGTGATATCTGCATTTGACTTCAGAGTGTATGTCCAGTCTTTGACTGGGCGCTGGTGTAAACCTGGCTTGTAACCTGGCCTATGCATGCACGTCGCTGTGTTGCATAACGGTGTCCTGTGTTTATTGCTGGCGACCGTTGGTCACCGATCGACATTCACGTTCCACGTGCGACTACCCTGTACTAGGTTGGTTGGTTCATTCATCCACCTTGTTTAGAACAACAAACTCTTGCACATCAAAACGTTCTATATCTAATATTGAACGTTATATTGCCAGCCCGATTGACTCGACCAATGCATGGTGCCTCCCAAATGGCCTACAATTCAATCCAATGCATGTTCAAAACGTTTGTAACGCCATCTCCCTTTATCCCCGCTCCCAATAACAACCGTCCCCCATCCCCCGTCCCACTCTACTAACTTGACCAATACATGGTACCTCCCAATTGGCAGCGGCAAAGACCCGTACGACAAACGGCAGACCCTGGCGCAAATGTTCTCGGCCACTCTAGAGCAGAAGGAGCGACAGCGCACACTGGCGCAACGCCGTAAGACCTGCGACCGGATACAGGCAAGTTTTGTTGTGTTGACGTACATAGTGTCAGCGTATTATCAGCGTAGGTAGGTAGGGGATACAGATTCGGAAAGGGAAAGAAAGTACAGTTGGTCTTGAGGTGCAGTATGTATTGGTCGTTTGCAGGACCACCGAAACACCGACAATACAGTTGGTACAGGTTTGCTCAACAAGCCCTATAGCTTGCTCGCTGTAACTATTACCTGCTGCAATGCTGTGTACATCCAGGTGGATCTGGCTGAGCTCTTTGATAGCCCGTCTATCAAGAGACGAACAGTTCGGTCCAAGACAGACAACACAGCAGCAAAGAAGATCACGTCACACTACGCGAACACACACACCACCATGTCCAAGACACGGGTATGTTGTACAGTACTTGAGTGTATATGCTGATTCTAGGAGGTATGCGGTCAATCATTTGATTTATTATGAAAGAGAATGAGAGGGTTTGTTTATCTGATTCGAATAACATAAACTCTCGAAGATGTATATGTCTCTTTGTAAGTCGAGGGTGTTTCGTGAATGAGATTAGGCATTTGCGCAACAAAAATATTAAAACCCAAAAACTCTAAAATCCTAAAAAAAACCCGTATGTAGACGTGTAAACCCTAAGCATCCATGCACTGCATGACACTGACAACAAACTTGCTGAAGGGTACGCCTCAATGCCGATATGTTTTTAGCTGTTGCACTCATCTGTACAGTTCACTGGTATGCATTACGTCCCCTCTCCACACACTCACAAATACACACACTCTCTCTTTCTCACAAACACACACACACACACCCACACGCTCACAAACACACACACAGGCTGCGACTGTTATGCAAGCGTGTTGGCGTGGACGGCAGACTCGGTTGATGTATAAGAAAATAGGTATGTGGGTGGTTATATGAAATTAGTATGTGATTGGTTATGAGAAAATATATATGTGGGTGGTAATAAGAAAATAAATATGTAGGTGGTTATAAGGAAATTAGTATGTGATTGGTTGTGAGAGATTATGTATGTGGGTGGTAATAAGAAAATAAGTATGTGGGTGGTAATAAGAAAATAAGTCTGTGAGTGGTTATAAAAAATGGGTGTGTGGGTGGTTACAAAAAAATAAATACGTGATTGCTTATATGAAAATGGGTATCTGGAGGGTGAGTCAAGGCCTTGGCTCATCCTGTGTTCTCAGAGTGAATGGAATGTATTTCGATGTTGTGACGGAAGTTGTGTGAAACTAACTGTGCGAAAACATTTCATTTTGAGTCTACTGTTCCACTTTGCGTCGATATTGGAGTAACATTTTAGAGTATAAAACAACCGGTTTAGACAATGATACATCTGTGCAGCTGTACATACGGGACCCATACCAGCAGAAAAACTGTCTATTAAACGTTATCCACAGTCAGGCACGGGTATAAGGTACACTAATTGATGAACACGTACGTGTACCTTGTGGTACGGCAAATCATATACAAAACCTAGAAAAACATCATCCCTCCAATATATATGCCATCCGCAGTCAGACGCGGGTATAATGTACACGAACTGATGAACACGTACGTGTACCTTGTGGTACGGCAAATCATATACAAAAGCTAGACTAACATCATCCCTCCAATACATATGCCATCCGCAGTCAGACGCGGGTACAATGTACACGAACTGATGAACACGTACGTGTACCTTGTGGTACGGCAAATCCTATACAAAACCTAGACTAACTTCATCCCTCCAATACATATGCCATCCGCAGTCAGACGCGGGTATGCTATGCACGAGTTGTTGGATACGGAAGTGTCGTACGTGCGACTGTTGCGCATGTTGCAGCTGTGGTATATCAAACCCCTCACCTCGGCCGCCAATAAGAATCAAGAGTATTTAAATCAGGTGATTTCATTGGACGAGGTGAATCGGATATTCTCCAATGCACAGGACCTTTACTACTGTCACCGTGGTACGTGCCGTCGCATTTTACGCGTGCACTATGTGAGAAGAGCTATTGCCTGTCTGCTCTTTTAATTTGCGACACGGCTTGTGATTTATAACATGCCTGCAGTGCATGGCGTGGGTCTTGCTAGTCCCGGGTGCAGGATCACTTTACTGCTGTTTATTTAGCAAATACGCCTGTAAGTCTGTCTACCGTTCTTCTCCACATATCTTTACTATTGTTTGTTTAGCAAATATGCCTGTAAGTCTGTATACCGTTCTTCTCCACATATGTATATGGCTAGTAGATATATACCTACACCTATCCGTCCAAGCACGCACACACGAAGCTCGACGGTGCGCACAATTGGCTGCTCGCATACATACCATATCCCAATGGATTGCACGTTGACAACTATCGGATTAAGTGAGCAGTGATCTGTTAAATTATTATTTCTAACCCTATACCCTAAACTCTAACCCTGAACACACTCATCTGACTTCTAACCAACATATATCCAACATTCATGTATCATCATTTGCGGTACAATCATCGACTATAGATCTGCTGTGTAGTATGCAAGAACGGTTCGACAAATGGCACCACGAGCAGCTCCTGGGGGATTTGTTCTTGCCTATGGTAAGACTGTTGGTGTTGTCCTTGTGAGTTGGGTTTGGGTTTGTGAGAGGGGGAGGGGATTAGTTGCTTACCCTTCCCAGCCGCTGATTTCGGATGTCAGATTTTGGATTTTAGTTGGTCGTGATTTGGAAATTGGATTTTGGATTTGTAAATCGTTTTAGGGTGTGGCATGCTGGTAGCATCAACACACCATACACGCCACACTGACCCCTGAATGTATGCACTGACACATGAAGCATATGAATGCATGAACACGTACAGGCGGACATCCACATGAGCGCGTACATACAGTACGTGAACGAGTACGATCGGTCGGTGGAAACATACAACGTCGTGAAAATGCAGCCGGCCATGAAGGCTTTTCTGGAGGTGAGTCAACGTATTTGCCAGGTGTACACAAGTCAACGCATTCGTCAGGTGTACATAGAGCACTGCGAATAGACATGTGTACTGTACTATCTCTTATACACAACACTTGCAAGCGATGCAATGTCATAGCGCAAGCAGGTTTGAAAGAGCGTAAGTGAATTGTTTATGACGTGATTAGCTGTGGTCAGCCTGAACAGATTTTAACGTTAAATCGAAGGGCGAGTGTTTTTGCTCATACGTGTGTACGGTACTACGTTGTCTGAGCGTGGGAGAGCCCTTTATGTATTAGTTCGTTTGGACTCATTGTATTTGCGAAACACACGTGTTGCTAAGGAGCAGATTTCCACATATGGCCTTGAACGCTGCAGGTATGTTTGTATAGAGTACAAGTGCAGTGAAAGTCGCTTATTCATTTTGTGAGGTATGCAAAATGACTTGAACGGATGTATGCACACACAACCACACACATATATATA